TTGACTTTGTGACCAGGCTCGGTGTGTCTGGTCTCTCATAGAGCAGCTTTGGAGCTGGGAGGTAGCAGCTTTGAGTCTGACAACATCTGTACCACCACTGGCAGCTGTTTCACACTCGGTAATTACTTGCTTTTGATAGAAACCCTGTAATCGATATGCTCAGTGTGCATGTAGTGCCTGCAATTCCCTGGTGGATCCTGGGTAACCTGCACTACTGTAATGAAGAAGGGAAAACTGATGACGTAAACATTTGTCCTCCAGTTTGTAGCTGCAGCTGCTCAGCAGCTCTTATGCTCGTCTCTAATTTAGTTGGGCTTCATTTCTGCCTGCTCTGTCTCACGCACACAGGTAAACAAGATGAGGGTGTGCATGCAGCTACTGTACCGCTCAAACGTTGCCCGGGTTCAGATTAGTAGAGTAAAAGCTGAAAGGTGCATGTTGGGCTTCAACTCCCACTGAGATCAGTAGAGTAAAAGCTGAAAGGTGCATGTTGTTATAAGCCTGCGCGACTTGACACATTTAACTTTAGTCATAAATTTTTTTTTTTCTCTTTACAATCAGTTTAGTCTGCAAAATGTCAGAAAATAGTGAAGATGTTAGTGTCCAGCAGACATGGTATTGTCCAACTAGCAAACACCATAAAGATGATCATTTTACACCTGCAGAAGACAAAGGAAATGGCAAATATTTGAATAGAAATTTTTAGAAAAAGACTCCCAAAAATCAGTCGGCTATCAAAGTAGTTGCAGATTAATTTCTTGTCTACTGATTTTTCACTGCAGTTACAGCTCAGTCAAATGAGGAGAAGCAGATGTGCATGCACAATCAATGTAGCTTACTCTTTCCAGTAGTAGCTGCATATCTGATGTCCACTGGAGAAGGAACAGTGATAGATCCACTCAGAAATCACTTCCCATCTCATAATCACCAGATTCACAACTTTCAGTGTGAAAGTACTGCTTTTAAGTAAGATAAGAAAGCCAGTGTCCGTTCTGTTAAAGGGAATGTGAAGTCAGTAGATGAAGCAGAGTTGTGGGTTCAGTTCCAGCTCTGAGCCAAAACCCAAGAAGTTCCTACTTTTCTGTCGATGGGTTAAGATACATTTGCAGGATTAAAGAAGTGATGATGATTAGGAGGAGGAATAACAGCGGCACAAGGTGCAGCGCCGCTCACTGCGCCTCGGCTTGTTCTGGGTATTCTTATGGTAATCCATTGCCGGGGATGAGGCGCAGAGCAGCCAAGCAAACAATGGCAGTGGAGCCCGAAAGTCTGGTCTGCAGTCTCCCAGGCCCTGAAGGGCATGTCAGGCAGGGCGCCGACACCAACGGGGGAGGCTGCTGTGGCACCCAGAGGCCTGCCTGCGAGGAGGGGCCCCTGGAGGGGACAGGGTCAGGGCCAGGATGGCGGGAGAGAGGAGAAGCAGTGGGGCAAGAAGAAGAAGAGGAGGAGGAGGAGGGGAGGATGGAAAACTGTAAAGGAGAGAGATTTGGAGAATAAGGAGATAAGATGAGGACAGGAAGAGCAATAGAAGAAAATGTAAATGCAGATAAGAGACAGAAAAGAGGAAATAAAATTTTGCAAAGGAAACAAAAAATAAGAACGTGCGGCCTAGTTTGACACATCCAGGCTACCCTACCTTCACCTCTTCTCCTGTGGTTTTGTATTTGTCAGATTAATGGAAGCATCATTTGCTGGTTAAGACTGAGCAGTAAGAGCAAAAGCTCCAGATGAAGTGAGCAAGTGGACCTTGACTGAGGAGTGGAGCGTGTGTGTGGGTTTTTTAAGGCTAAGAACAAACTGTCAAGCCCAGCACATTAAAATAACATTTATTCATTATGTACAGGACAGTTGACAGACAGAAGGGTTTGTTTTGAGCTTTTAAAATGTGATTGGAGACTGCTTTTCTGTTGCATACCATCAGAAATGAACAGTTTGTGGGCTTTAGGCTGCTGGCAGACTGGAAAGCTGTGATGGACAGTTCTCGACATTTTCTGACATTTTACAGCCTAAATGAATATTTTGCAATCAGATCCACCCGTAGCAGTGTCGGGCCACGTTCGATCACGATTGGACAGATGAGACACTGGGGTTAATGACAGTAATATATACAAACAAACTAATGCAAACAGCCTCAGCCCACCACTCCACTCTGCTGCATCCCAGCTGCCCCGTTAATATTCTCCACCGCCACCAGCACTGATCCCAATCTGCCTCATTACTGCATTTGTTTGTAGAGCTCAGGAGCTGTGCTCTCCAATCAGGCCTCTGCATCGTTTATTTAGTCTGCCGCTGGTCTTCCAGGGCAGGAAGAGGAGACACATTAAGGCTTGATTATTGATGTCTGGCCCCCCACACTGCACTCTGTCCAGGGAGGAGGAGGAGGGCTATTAATGCCCTTGTTTTTAATTCTTGATTCGTTTTTTTATTAAATGTCCAAAAGCAGTCAAACCCCCACTATGGTGTCATCTTCATGTTTTGTGTTGTCTGACATTCAGCTTAAAAAGAAATACAGGAGAGAGAAGCATCACCTCCTCGTGTTAGAGAAGCATCACCTCCTCGTGTTAGAGAAGTATCACCTCCTTGTGTTTGAGAAGCTGAGAAGACAGCAGCAGTGTCACTGCTTTGCTCTGCATTAACGTGGATAAATCAAATCCATGAGCTGCAGTCAGAGAGGAGACGAATCCTCTGGCAATAATAACGGGGGATCGCAGCGTAGCTCCGTGTACTTCCTTTATAAAACTCTTCATACAGTGCCTGTAGCAGCCACCAGCCATGGAGGTGTAATACGGTTTTACACTTTTTGTAGTCACCACCTCTGCAGCCAAATGAAAAATTACTATACCCAGAAGCAGACAGCTTCCATAAAATCCTTGAAATGGCTCTACTTCTTCTAGAAGTCTTCACCTTCTGCTTGGGTTTCCATCCCACCAAATTTCCCAGCATACCTGGAGCGGTGACCTCACATTCCTTCCCCTGAAGGATTGGGTTATGGCTCAGTGGCTCCCCATAAGGGCGGTTTATTCTGTACAGGTAGGCTGGCTAACAATGCATCCTTTCATTGCCGTCACGCTGAAGGTTCCTCCTCCCAGACTCTGATGTCACATCCAGCTAGCCGGGGCAGCTACACTACATTAAACTCTGTTAGGAGGAGACGGGGCAGGACAGAGCAGAGTACATGTAACCATGTACACAGGAAGTACACAGGGGCAGTCTCCGTGCATGAGAGCAGCAGATATTTGTCTCAGGTTGTAGACTACTGGTCAGAGGTTTTAGAGCACCTCAGTTTTTTCAGTTTCTGTTGAGGTTTTTCTTATAGTATCAGCAGTAAAAGTACTTTATTCTGCAGTAAATATCTCTCCTGTGACTCATATCTGATCCTGTCTGACGGTCAGTTATTAATCTCGATGCATCAAAGTGGACGTTCAAACAAGAAATGTCTTAACTCGTACACGTCTAAAACACAAACAGACATTTATTTTGTAAGAGGGGCACAAGGGAAATGGTTGTTTTAATCTTTAACAAGTTGTCATTTTATAAGCTTATGTTAAAAAAACTAACATCTTGTACTTGTCACTGTGTCAGGTAAGGGAGTATAAAGGAGTATAAAGTACAATATTTTCTTTTGAAATGTGGTGTACTGTAAGTATCAAGCATCATAAACTGCAAATATTTAGGTCCATGTACCTGAACATTGTACTTTAGTACAGTACTTCATTAAATGTACTTAGTTACTTTCCACTACTGCAGTTCTGTAATGAAGGAATACCCAAATACTGCGTGTAAAGAGTCCCATCGATGGAACAGTAGCTATTGTTTCCTAATGATGGCTGATTGTCTCAAATAGCTGAACATGGTGAGCGGCACGAGTTGGAGGAAATGAGACGCTGGTACCTGCATTAAGACCAGCGCTGTGTCGCCATCTGTTACCTTCTGCTGGGGAGAAAGGAGCATGTTGTTTGGCTAAGAAGCAGAGCGAAGGATCAGAGACGCGTTTGAACACGACTCTGAGGAGGAGTGAAAGTTACCTGACACCCAAGAGGGTTCACTGTCATTATCTTACATTTCATATCCTGCATTTTATTTCTCTGATGGCCTCTGACTCCAGTGTGACTGTGTGCGTTTTTGAGCATTTCAGCTGCCGCACGCAAAAACGGGGTCGCCCCGTCAGTCACCGGTTGTGTGTGTGTGTTCCACTTACCTTATGTTTTCAAAGGGAAATGGATGTGTTGGGTGATTTAGGAAGGGTGTGTGTGAAGAAGGGGGAGGGATGCTTCCTGTCTTGTGGCCCCACAACAGACGGTCCTGCCCTGTCTTGCCCTCCCTCTTTCTGAACTAGCCTTTGTGTGCGTTATCTCACGGAGCTGCTGCTTCTCCTCCTGTTGTTGTTGCGCTCTAAATAGAGAAAAGAGCCACGAACAAACTCCAGGTCATTGTTGTGACAGCAAGTTGAAATTTCTTCCACTTTGTGTTATCGATACAGTGACGCCAACAACACAGACAAGTGTGTGTGTGTGTGTGTGTGTGTGTTTGTAGCTCCCTTATACACACTCCGAGTCTCTCACATAGTATCACTGAACCTCACAGCTTCTCTTACTGTCCTGCACACATATGAATCCTATGTTTCTCATGCACATTTACCTGTGAAATATGCACTTGTGACAGGACGTCTGCACGGCTTGAACAGTGGGTCACAGAGCGAGAGCCCAGGCAAACCCAGCGTTCTGTCCTCTACATTATCCACATTATGGCTGCCCCCTACACATGGTTATGTGAATGGACTTCAGTTAAATCCCGTTTTAGCTAGGTAACAGAGAATTACTGGATGCCTGCCTGCAATGTGGTACAGCAAAACTTTCTCTCAGCTGTGGTGAGAACAGAAGACAGGATTTTATAACAGAACCTTCTGAGGTTTACATGTCACTGATGATGTACTAAACACAAGCTGGACTGCTGCAGTGTCTTCTCCTCATCACTTTAAACCTTGTCTTCTCCCTCCTCAGGGTTGTGGACCCAGAGAGCCAGTGAGACAGAAGAGGACCTGATATTGTGATACCACCCTCCGCATCCTTAACCCCATCCCGTCGTCTCTTGCCTCCCTCCCTCCTGCTCATCCTTCTCTGAGGTCTCCTCAGGCCAGCTCCCGCCCAAACAGCTTCTCTCCTGCTGTGGGTTACAGAGTCTGATACGCTGACCGGAAGCTCCCACATCACAGAGCACGGCCCGGTCTGGGCCCAGGTCCTGCTGCAGGATGGCAAGTCTACCCTTCTCTTTGGCTGTGATGGTCGCCGCTCTCCTGCTGACCCTCGGAGCTGACGGTAATATACGGAAAGTACCGGACACACACATGCAAAACCAACCACTTTGTCGCCACCCTTAAATCTTTTCTTGTGTGAAAGTAGGCCACAGTATTTGTAAAGTGCACATCTCACCATTGTGTTTCTTGTTCTGGACGAGTTTGTCTTCTCCTTGTTTAACTGAGTGAATCATAAATTAAAAGATATCTTACTGATATCTAGTGAGAGCAGAGTGATTGTTTCAGCATGTGGAGCTGTGCAGCATCTGACGGAGCGTTATAACAAGTCAGATATAATAAAAGATACTGTAGCTACAGTCAGCTAAGGTTATGTGTAATGAATTACCACAGCCAGTAAAGTGAGATCTAAACTTTTTATCTTTTATCCAGATAAAACCAGAATGTAAGGAGGTAAATATGGCGCCCCCATCCTAACATTTGGCACAGCGTAACGTACCTTCAGATTTTCTATAGTGGTTCACCAGGAAACCCGGGGTCTCCGAGTTTTCCTTGATCAGCACTGGGACTGAAATATCCTGTAGTGCGCAGTTTTTGGATGTAAGACTCTGGATCTTCTCTCCACTGTATATTTATGATTTAACGTTCATGCGAGGCGTGTAAAGCCTTACTCTTGGCTGTGACCCGAAGATGCTGCCAGCTCAGTGTTGATGCACAGCTGCAGCTCTGAACATGAGAAAGGTCACCTTGTGCCCTACAAACACACACAGAGCAGCTGATAAGAGCAGGGTGGCGCTCAGACAAGTGTCACTGACTGTGACTGACTCACACTCTGATATCTGTGCAATCTGTGTATTGAAGAGGTAGATTTTTCCACTCCTTTATTCACACGGTGACCTCCCTTTGTTGATTTACTAGAAGAACTGAAACTCTTGTGCAGTTTTATTTTGCCACGATTGTCTGAATGCAATGAAATGTTTAAAGATGGGAGCAGAAGATAAATTCAAACTTTAGTGTGAAATCAGGTCAGCGCCGCAGCGTCATAATGGGACAGTTTGAAGATAGAAAATAAATTCTGGATGGATGAATAACATATTTTATTTGAAATGTAAAAAGTTGAGATGTCCCAAAACTATACTGGGTATTAGTGCTGATCTGGGCATTTGTCCTGGGATCGGTGTCGGCGTCGGCCAGAATAAAGCCGTTCTATTTCTGATTGTTATTTAGAACTACAGTCCTCCTAAGCGTGGACTCATGTTTTTCAGATGAACTTTTCACGCAGCCATTAAGTTGCTTTATTAATTAATGCAGCTGGGGGCATGTCAGCTGGAAAATCTCTTGTTCCTGGCTGCAACCTGAAGTCTGCTTTTAGTTTCAGGTCAAACTTTCTGAGCGATGCGTGTAAACTGCTCTGCAGAGTCCAACTAAACAAAGTTCCCTAGTTCCAGCTAAAACTGTTAAAACACACAATCTGTCATCTCTCAGGTCAATCCTACTGAACATGCAGTTCTTTTAATGTGGGTGTAGCTTTTATTTGCTGCGTTTTACCAGGGTTGGGTGCACTGTACCTAAATATAAAATATGTTTTAGTAATGTTGTTTCTGCTGCGCCCAAGTTAATGCAGGTTTAAATATTTAACATTTCACTCAGGCTGTGAGGATGGAGGCCTGCAGGCCTGATCAAGCCACTTGTGGGACGACTCCTGCCTGCTGTCCATTCGGTCAACATTCATTTCAGGCTAAAGCAGCAGCTCTGTCAGTCCCCCTCTGCCTCGCAGGAAGCTGTTGAACTGATTGTGGCTGCTCTCACTTCCTCTCTGCACATTAACCATTTCCTGTATGGCACTGTATGAGCTGTCAGCGGCGCTAAATGCTCCAAACACTCATTGTTCTCCGGAAATATCCCTCGGCCCCTCTGGAGACATATTAGCCCTTTGAAACAGTGGCCATTTCCCCTCTCAGCCTGTCACGGCGGGCTGGCACTGACCCCCACCAGGCCGGTTTCACGCAGCAGTTACCGAGTTTTATTTGTATGAGTCACATCTGTCCTCCCTCCTGTTCATAGTCTCTGTTTGGATGAGCAGCAGCAGGCGTCACTGAGCTACAGTGGTTTCACAGTGTAAAGATGCAGAAAATGATCATGAAAGAAAAAGGCTGAGTCGCCGCCGTGAAGACACCTTGATATATTGTGCCATCACAGATTTGTCAGTCTATAGAACTTCATCAGTCTATAAAGAAGGTAAAGTGACCTTGTGTCAGCAGCATCTGCAGCTCCTGGTGGAGGACGTATAATCATGACACATTGTTTTATCCTTCATATTAATCCTGGGAAATCATTAGAATATTCTGGTTTTGAACAAGGCTGAATATAATTAAGAGATGTGTTGATACTAGTCTCAGTACCCGAGTACTTGTGCAGATAGCACAACTGTACTGTCTTTGATAAAAACCTTTATTTCTCGGCTACCTAATCACAAACACCTGAATGAAAGTAAAGTGAGTAAATCTTAGGTCTGGACTGTGGGTCCTCACCAAGCAAACAATTAACGGACTGATCATGAAAATAATCAGCTACTTAATCCGTAATGACGTGTCCCTGGCTGTGCACTTAATTTCCTTTCCTAGTTGAGTTTTTGTTTTTAATTTAGTGCCCAGTGTGCCCTTTGTTTTGTTATCTTGTATTTGGTTTCTTTTGCTGCCGTGTGGGTTCCAGTTGACCTTATCATCTTTATTACTCTGCATTCCTGTAGACAGTGAGTCATTGTTGACATGCTCATGGTCATAAAGTTTCTCTGCATGAGAGCAGGGCAGCTAACTTTGTCTGCAGACCACAGCTGCTGGAAAACACCCAAACTCTGTGTCCGCCTCCAGTGTTACACAGCAGCTGGAAGTGGGACATGGCAGGAGCTAAAACAAGCACTCCTCAGTCTGTTTTTACCAGCAGCTCACCCACACGCCTTGGACTAATTTAAACATAACATGTTCGCACTTCGCCCCCAGACATATGTACATCTGCTTAGATTTTCCTCTGTCTGCTGTCAGGTTTAGAAACTGCAGCTAACATTAATTTTCATTAATCTGCTGACGTTTTTTCAATTTGTGGATGAATATTTTAGACTGAAAAGTCCAGGAACTGTGCAGAATGGCCATCACTCCTTCCATGAGCTCAACCACAACGCTCAAATATCCAGTTTACACCAACAAATAAAAGCAGCTACACTTTTACTTCGAGGAGCTGTCATCAGAGAACATTTGGCAGTTGTTGCTGATTGTTGCTTTGTTGTGGTTGTTGCTGATTATATCTCCTTTGTTGTCACTTTTGTAATCTTTAATATATATTTTTGCAGTTGACTCAGCGTTGACAAAGTCACAGTCGTAAAGCTTCTCTCTGTGACAGCGGACAGTGGGCGAATGAAAACGTCTTCCTTTTTCATGTTGAAGTCATAATATATAATAAACTAGCGTGCTTTGTTAGCTTCATATCTACTGTAACGGTCCTCTAGTATATTTAATGTCTACGGCTGCAGCTACTGATTATTTTCATTACCAATTTATTTGTTGATTGCTTTTATATTTTACTTTGGGAAAACGTAAGTATCACCCTCAGATCTTGTTTAGTTCAACAAAACATGTCCAAAACCAAAGTTTACAGCCACATATGCCAGAGAAAAGCAGCAGATCTGATCATTTGATAAAAACATTTGGTTTTTTTCTGCTATTTTTGCTTGAAAAGCGACTGAAACCATTTTTAATTATAAAAACACTTGCTGTTTATATTTCTTTTGAAGTCAGTTCTGTTTATTTGTCTTGCTCAGTTTTATCCTCATTAACATTTTACAGGCGTGACTCATGGTTGACTCCCAGTGTCTGCAGACCACAGTGACTGCTTCTTCTTCCACTCTCACTGGTTCTGCAGCCAGTCTAGGATCCAGCTGAGAGCAGGCGGCAGCCAAAGGCCTTCTGGCTGCAGATCAGAGGCTTTTATCAGGCTGCTGCTGCTGTATCCCCACACGGCTGCATGTAAATAAACAGTGTGAAGGTCTGAAGCAGCACTATGACTTTAAGAGCACATGGAGAGAGTCCGATTACCCAGCGTGCTCTCTGCCAGACCTCAGTCTCCACTCTGACTGCCGGCACAATTAAGTACACATGTGGATGGAGACACACAGAAACAGAGCGGCCATTTCCAGCCTCTACACACCCACAGTTGGCTCTTCCTCCTTGCTCCTGTTAGTCATAACCTCTCAGCCAATCAGAGCTGTCTTGGTCTGAGAGTGGGCAGGACCTTGACAACCTGCCTGTGAGGTTTTTCAGGTCTAGACAGTGGTGATGTCATTGCTGAGTTTTTCATATGAGCAGCTGAAAGCTGCACACATCCAGGGTTTAGATTAAGGAGGCAGAAGTTGCCTGCAGCCTCTTTGCTGTTAAAACACTGACTTTACCCTTAATAGTGATTTTTACCTTTTCTGAGCAAGTATTGATTGTTAAAATCCTGAGATTGAGTTGCTCAATAAACCTGTTTCATCTGTGCTGAATGTTCTGTGTATGCGATGGCACTGAATGTACGTGGTTCACTACCAGAGCTTCAGAAATCCACTGCAGAGATGGAGAAGCTGCACTTCAATGTGCTGGAACAACCTGCCTGCCAAGTACCTGAAGAAACTGCAGGGTGCTCGCAACACATGCTGATTTATTTTTCTCTTTGCTGCACTTTGTTTGAAGTTACTTACTAGATAAACAATCCCATGACGAGTTTTTTGAAAGCCTCCTCACTTTGAGTGCCTCAAACCTTTGCACAGAGTTCTGTATCTGATGTAACTAAATCAAGAATTTGAACAAAACAAATTAAGGACAGTGAGCTGACACTGAATCAGGAGCTCAGCGCTGAGACGCGAGGGGGAGGGCGCAGACGGACTGTTGCTGTGGTGACCAGGAGGCTCACAGTGTAGGTGTGCAGGCGGTTCTTGTCCAGACATGACAGCAACACTTGACACACCTCAGAGAGTTTTTACTGAGAGTTAAGGAGAGAGGAGAAGAAAGCAACAGAGGGCATGAGATACCAGTGTTTACAAGTGTAAGTTGAAGATAAATTTAAAGAGACAGGAGCAGAGAGGCTGAGGCGAGTGCAAGGCAGCAACAAAAGCTGAGGCCCGGTCCTGTAGCGGGCTGGACAGAAGAGAGACGAGGAATGGAGACGACTAGAAGAGAGTAAAGGTGGACTGGTGAGAGAGGGAGGGAGCAATTAAAACTACACCTCCTCCCCTGTCTGACCCAGTTTAACGTGTTCAAGGATCTTCACTCTCTGACAAAGCTGAGTTAATTAGTCAACAGAAAACAAAGCCGCTATTTTGATCTTTTTACGTTTCTCATTGTTCTGTAAACATTATAAAGAGGTATATGTTTGAGTTTTGAACAACACCAGACATTTGAAGACTTCTCCTTGAGCTCTGGGCAGCTGGTCTGTTTTTCACAGTTTGACATTTTATAGAAAAATTAATTTATTGGAAAATAAGCAGTTGAATCGATATTGAAAACAATCCTTAGCTGTAGCTTTTTAACCTGGAGGTGCTTTAATAAACCTCCCCGCAGCTGATTTTATGTCCAAGTTGGAAGATTGGTGTTACTATTTTTGTGGTATATAATTATTATTTTTCTCAGTTGTAAGTCCAAGAATCTCAGTGAGTCAATAAATTACTTGTGCAACAGGAAAAAGAGAGAAAACACATGGGAAAAGAACCGAAGGATCTCGAGGGCGGTCCGTCGGTGACGTGTAGTACCAGAAACACGAAGCAGAGGAGGATCAGTGATAATATAAGTGTTAAAGGTCCTCGGCATGGAAGCTTCCTCTTGGCTAAAACCATGAGCGCACGTTTAAGATACAAGAGGAATGAATGAAATGAGCATGTGATCAAAATTCCTGCCTTTAAGAAGCCTGGGGTCAAACCAACAGATGTCTGTGCAGCACAGCTAATGACCTCTAGCGAGGCAGTGGAGGGGGCAGGGCCATGTCACCTCAAAGTCCTATTTATCTTTGTGCTGTGACCTCTGACCCCTGAGTGGCTGATTGTAGTGTGTTCAGCTACAATTAAAGAGCCGTGTGTCACTGTGGAGCCTGAAGAATGCCTCACACGTAAAGACCGATGCAGGACACACAGTAGTTCGGAGCCTGGTCAGTGGAAGCAGCCTGTAGTCCTTATATGGAGCTTCGTCACATCTCCTCCTCCTCGTCTCTGTTGTGCTGCTGATTAGAAGAGGAATGTTTCACCTCTAGCAGGAGTAACAATAAATCTGATCAGGAGTCTGTTCTCCAAGCTCCACCATGTCCCTGCACGTGAAGCTGACACTGTCTGTGACACATCAGTCTTAATCACTGGCTTGTATTTTACCAGTCGGCTGCAGAAGAACAATCTGTCGCTGCAGCTACACCGCTAAAACCTCTGCTGTTTATCACACCTCTTATCAGAACGATTTAAAACGACTGGTCTTCAGAGCAGATCCCAGGACTGGCAACCTCCAGTTCTCCGTGAGGAGCAATGAATTTAAAGATTATTACATTTTCAGAGGTTTCTAAAGCTGCTCGTACTTGTTCTTACATGCAGAAACACTTTTCATTTGTTGCCTTTGCCCCTAAATGTGGGATATCATTCATGAATAAATCATCTCCCCAGCTGGCATTTACCAAACAAGCTTGTTCTTTTTTTGAAGAAACTAATGTTTCTTCATTTTCCATTGTTTTAATCCCATTTTTGGGGGATGAGATGTCTGTTGGATGATATATTACATATTTAAAATATTGATAAATCTTCTCTTAATTTCTTTTGCTAAAGAGAGTTTGATCTTTAGACAAATGAAGGCTGTAATACCATGGGCTGTCCTAAAATGAAAAGAGCAGGGCCTGGACACTGAAGCCAGGAGCGACTGAACGAAGAGGTTTTCAGTTAAAAGCACTTTAGTGGAACCACCTGTAAACCTGGTTCTGACTCAGCTTCTCCTTCCAGCTGCAGGTCAGAACCCAGACCACGTCCTACAGGGGACGGGGGTGAAACCCGACGCTCAGGGGCCTGGCGGGGACTCCACCATCGCACCTGAGGACGCCCCTCGATTCCTCAGCTGCTACTGCTCCGGACACTGTCCTGATGATGCCACGAACAATACCTGCCAGTGAGTAGAGACGGCAAGGTTGCAAACACACACACCTACTGGTGCTGAGCACATCTTACAAAAACTTGAGTCACACTGAGGAGAGAAAACGACAAGCTACCCCATTTACAAACAGCAACTGAAGTAGGAATAGTACATAAGTGTGTGTTTGTCTCCTCAGGACTAACGGTCAGTGCTTCGCCATCATCGAGGAGGATGAGCATGGAGAGGCCATCCTCACCTCTGGCTGCATGAAGTACGAAGGCTCACACTTCCAGTGCAAGGTATAAACATCCCAAGTCTGTTTACGTGCAGGTCTCTAGTTTTTCTGCTGCCAGTAGCCACCAGTGGTGGAAACACTCAGTACATTCACATTTACTCAGTGTTGAGGTATCTGTACTTCACCTGAGTATTTCCATGTCCTGTGACTTCACTACCTGCCAGAGTCAAACCTTGTACTTTTTACTACACGTCATGTACCTTGAACCAGATGAATCAAACCAAACCCAGTAGAGCCATCAGACTCTATGAATCCCAGTAGGAAATCCACCAGCTACCCAGCAGGATGTAAAGTACTTCCCAGTATAAGTATATAAGGTAGTTACCATCAGCTCCACCTTTACCAGCTGCAGCATTAAAGTGATGGACACAATGACAGAAAACTCCCCTGTGTTCTTAAGTTGCTCTGATATTCTCAGTTTATTTATTTACTGGTTTTGTTTTTATTTATTTCCATTTTCTTCTTCCCTTTACTTTCTTTAACCTTCATTTAACTGACTTCCTACATTTTCCTAACTACATATGGGCACAGTAGTGCATGTGCAGAGGGTGGAGACCAGTGAATGTAGAAATACACATTTGAATGTGACTTAAATGTAAACTCTTTTCGTATTAATGTGGGAGTGTAGTGGAAACCTGGAGTATCTGTGCAACCTGTGTAACAGGTAAAAATGACATGTTTGGTTTGTGTGGTTGACAGGACTCCCCTAAGGCTCAGACCAGGAGGACGATCGAGTGTTGCGACACCAACTTCTGCAACGGAGACCTGCAGCCCACCCTCCCCCCACAGCCGCCCTCTGGTAACACTTTTTTTTACTGACCACAGCTGAACGATTCAGGTGTTTGTCATGTGAACAGAGGTCAACACAGAATTTGGTTTTGTCTCCAGAAGGCAGCCCCCACTGGCTGGCCTTCCTCATCTCTATGACGGTCTGCTGCTGCACTCTGATCTGTGTCACCGTTGTCTGTTACTACAGGTAGGACGCCACCTGTGCATGAGCCACAGCACTTTACACCACCTAAAGTGATTTTATTTAAGGCCTTTAGCAGCATTATTTTGAAACTTCAGGGATAGACGTTTGTCTTCTGGTGCAGATAGTTCAGAAACACAAAACCTACATCTTAAAGTTTTTTATGTTGGTTTCAACAGTGAAATAACTTTATCCAGAGCTTTACATGTACACATACATTTAGTCATTGTGACTGACGCCTCCAGGGGATATCATCATCTCTGGCGTCCATTGCAAACAAACGTCTTCAAACTCACTTAGACTACATTTAAAAAAAAAAGACACTTGTTACTGCAGAACATGCCTGAAAACGCTCATGTTGTACTGTTTTAATGATTGTATCCTCAGATTGTTTCACTGACAGCTGTTTTTAGTACGTTGGCCACCCCGTTAAATCAGTGAGGGTTGGCTAAATGACAGGAACACCTCTCTGTGTCTGTAAAGCAGGAGTCATCCTGCAGCTGTTGTATTAAACCAGGTTAGGTTTTAGCTAGGTGTACCTAATAAACTGGCAACTGAGTGTAAGAGGCCCAGTCTTGGACTAATGATGCTCATAACCAGTGCTATAGCTCTTTGTGACACATTGACATTTGTTTTTTTTTTATGCTCTGGACCAAATGAATCAAATTACAAGTGTGAAAGACTTTAATGACTTAAAACTCAAAAGTTCAGAATAATGTTGACAATAGTAAAATATAAAGTGTTTCTGTAGCACAATTCATGCATGAAATTCAGCACAAAGAGCTTAAGGTAGGGTGTCCAAACATTTGCATACAACACATAAAAGTTAGTCATGTTATTGCATAGATAAAAAATATAACTCTGTGTGGGTGTTGGTGTTGGTGAGACAGGTACAAGTGGCAGACCGAGCGCCGGCTGTATCACAAGGATCTGGAGCAGGAAGTCTTCATTCCTGCCGGAGAGTCTCTCAGAGACCTCATCCACCAGTCACAGAGCTCAGGCAGCGGTTCCGGGCTCCCCCTGCTGGTAGGAACACCGCACTGTACCGAGAGGACAGTGATGCACAGACACACACACACTCACATATAAATGCATATACGATACGTATGATAGATTTAAATATAGCTGAGCAGCTGACACTTCTGTGGGTTTTTGTGGGAAAAGTAGAGATAAATGTAAATCTGTAAACCAGTTCAAAACTAGCAGACAAATATGTAAGTTGGAAGTTCAGACACTGGAGCTGATCACTCAACATTGTATGCGTTTTTTGTTTCTATTAAAACGTATCTCACTCGGTTTCATTTTGCACCTTGGAACAGTTTTCTCTTCATTTACCAGATTTTCCTCCTAGTCTCCTTACTCATCTTTGTTTGCCTGAGCTGCTGCTGAAAGGGGTGAATATTCACAAGGTGTCCAAGCTCACGTGCACAGACAGAAAATGCTATGTCTTTTCTGCCCTGTCTTTTGTGCAGAGCCAGCTGCTCACAGTGGTTAGTGGCAAAAAATGATTTTTGTACCAGAGAAACCTTTGTTCAGGTGCTGTGAAGATGTCGTCAGTCACTGTTTAAAAGCAGGCAAACAAAGTTCCAATTTTTCAGCTAAAATGATGTTTTCTGTACACCTAAAGGAGGGAACTGAGTAGCCAGGAAGAACCTGTTTGGTTTTATTATCAGAAATAAAAGTCTTGTGCTGTTCAATCAAGAGCCCAAAACCCAAACATACTCAGTTTACTGTCATAAAAAGCAGAGAAAAACAAAGATCATAACTCTGAAGGAGCAAAACGTGTTTACTTGAAAAAAAGAGATACAAATTCTATTATCATAGCTTGAACCTGTCCTTCCGTGTCCTCCCTGTGCCTCCTTCAGGTGCAGCGGACCATCGCCAAACAGATCCAGATGGTGCGTCAGATCGGTAAAGGGCGCTACGGCGAGGTATGGCTGGGCCGCTGGAGGGGAGAGAAGGTGGCCGTCAAAGTCTTCTTCACCCGAGAAGAAGCCAGTTGGTTCAGAGAGACTGAGATCTACCAGACCGTCCTGATGAGACATGAGAACATCCTTGGTACCAGTCACATTCTTCTTACTTCACTTACATAGCAGCTTCCTCCTAATGAAACATGTATTTTTTATTTGTTTTAACAAATCTGATGTTTCCACTGAGGTGTGAAAAACCAAATCAGGTGTTCTCAGGTCAGCAACTGTGTGATTTGACCATACGCAACTGTGGTTCAGTGGGTAGAGTGGTCGTCTCCCACCCGCAGAGTTGGAGGTTCGAATCTCAGTGCCTGCAGCCCACGTGTTGAAGTGTCCTTGGGCAAGACACTGAACCCCCCACCCATTGCCCCTGATGGTTAGAGCCACTGGTGTGAGTTGGCGCCGCAGATGGCTGCCTCGGTTCTGTACTGGAAATAAATTCCTTGTGTCAGAATCAGAATCAGCTTTATTGGTCAGGTGTGTTGGACACATGAGGAATTTGACTCTGGTACATCGACTCTCAATGTGCAAACAGTAAACCAGCATAAGGCTGTGTAATATAACAAAATAGCAGTATTAACAGGAACAAACAGTGCAGAGTAAGCAGTGTAAACAGACAGTAAACAAGCAGTTCAGGCTCCTCCACACACGGCGAGGGGTCGTTGGCTGAAACCTGAGCTTTCAGCTTTTCATGTATATGTGTAACATACTTGGTCAAATAAAGACATTTATCTATCTATCTATTTTATTTTATTGCACTTTATCAGTGTAATTGTTGTAGTAAGACTTGGAGCATGAGCCAGCGACTATGCACGCTTTTTCTAGAACAGGATACAAACCTGCTGGACAGTATATAGTACTAAAGCGTATAAGAACCAGTGAAATAAATAAAATACAGATATAGAAACCAAACAGAGGCGGAGTGTCGGGGTGGTGTTTTCAAAACTCGTCCTTGTGGACATGATAGATGGTGTGAGTCCAGTCGTGGCACGAGAGGTTATTTAATGTTAGGTTAAATGTTAGCCTGTGGTGATTGACCTCAGAGGCCACAGTGTCTCCAGCAGCTGGACGCTGTAGTACACCAAATCTTTTTCCAGCAAAACGCTCTGTAAACATGAAGTGTTCCGCTGTAGGCCTTTTGTTGTACATACAGTTCACCAAGTCAGGTTTTCTTTTTTGTGAACACTGATTAAGTTTTAAAGACTCTCAGCATATTATCTAAATACAGGGTTATTCAATAAGAATGAACCAATTTCTTTACGAAATATTTTATTAAGGAAAAGTAATACAAGCCAAGTCACAGGTATTCTACTCATAATCAACTTTTATTTCCTGTCTTACAAGTGTTCAGTGTGGCCACCACCTGCAGCACGGGCAACATCAGTGCGATAAGAGAATTCCTCGCAGGCGCGTATTAGCATATCACGATCCACTGAGTTGATCGCTGTTATTCAATGTTTAAGGTCATCGAGGTGAGTGGGCATCAAAACTTAGATAACTCCTCTTTCAAATGGTCCACGAGTCATTCCATGACGATGCTTGAGAACTGAAGCAATGCGTAATGAAATCGGTTCATTCTTTTTGAATAACCCTGTACATCTTTATTGCTGGACTTGAAATCTGTAAAACAAAAACATTATTAATCAGGGTTTGAAAACTTGTCGTAGACCCTAATAGAAAAGTACAATATGCAGTTAAGTCTGAGGGGCCTACCTCTAAACCCTCCATCTCACCTTTCAGGCACAGAATCGGGCCCGTACACTGTCTCCCAACAATTTTGCCTGAATTTAAGTGGAAAACGATTCCATCGGTTTCCTCAAACCACTAAGTCACTGTCTGAGCTTCTTATGCCTCCGTTCTCTGCCTCCTCTGTCTTTGTGATGACACCAGCTACGTTTTCCCTGAAATGACCTCAGATGTCTCTACACATACAATCAAATACAAGAGATATACCGACCTGTTGCGTTTTATACATATCATTTCCTGGGCTTGTGCTTAAGTAGCCCACCGGCGGAGGTCTGACCTATCTCCCCATCCCACAGGCTTCATCGCAGCAGACATCAAAGGCACCGGCGCCTTCACGCAGCTCTTCCTCATCACCGACTACCACGAGAATGGCTCTCTGTACGACTACCTGAAGCTGACCACACTGGACACACAGGCCCTGCTGCGACTGGCCTACTCGGCTGCCTGCGGCCTGTGCCACCTGCACACCGAGATCTACGGCACGCAAGGCAAACCCGCCATTGCTCACCGTGACCTCAAGAGCAAGAACATCCTGATCAAGAAGAACGGGACCTGCTGCATTGCCGACCTGGGCCTTGCCGTCAAGTTCAACAGGTGCACTGCTGTTTGTCTGGTTCTACTAATTTCATGGTATTGGACTGTTGTTAGTGCTGCTGTGATGTCTGGAAGCTGATGTTTTTGGCGAATCACATGATGTAGTGAAGAAACTAAATTAGTTTATACCATCTGGTTTAGGAACAATCGACTGTTTTCTCAGTTAACCAATGAAAAAAACAATGGCAACCTCTCATTTGTGTTGCCGTAGCGACACTAATGAGGTGGACATCCCTCTAAGCAACCGGGTGGGGACGAGGCGCTACATGGCCCCTGAGGTCCTGGACGAGAGCCTCAACAAGAACCACTTCCAGGCGTACATCATGGCCGACATGTACAGCTACGGACTCGTCATCTGGGAGATGGCCCGACGCTGCATCACCGGAGGTGCGCGTGCACACACACACACACACACACGGTGGTGTTTCCAGCAGAGAGGACGCTACACCGACGTTCATCTGGTGATGTTTTAGGCCCATTTAGCAGCTTCTTTTGGCCAGGCTAACTCTATCTGGAGGAGAGTTGCTGATGTTTCTCAGTCAGTGTGCTCTCATGCGACTCCTGGTCTGACTGACATTCAGTCGACCAATCAGCAGCCTGAAAGAAGCATGAATGAGCTGTTAATATGCCTACAGAACCAATCACTTATCCTCAGTTTGTCCATGTAAATACACAGTTTGCCAGTGTGAGTTCATCCCCGTCTCTGTGCATGACACTTGAGTCAGTGCACATGAAAAGCTGCTGAAATCAGAGGTTGATTCAGCTGCATGTTGATGTGACAACGGCAGCTGGAACCATCATAAAACCTACGGACAAGACCAGTTACAGTTTGGCCTTACTGTGTATACATTTTGGATATGTGTAAATGCATCATGTTGTGGTGTCATCAGTACACAAATTAGCATTTGACATCATGTAGTGACCTTGTAAGCAGGTACTAGCTACCTTTTGTTCTTTTTTTTATTGATACCAAGAAGGGGAACGGAAACCTGAGAGATGACAGCGTCCATCACACCAGGTTTTAGCCTAACCTTCTTTACTGTCCAGATAGAGGCAGAGCAGGTCAGGGGAAAAACAATTCCAGGCGAGTTACTGTGAGTTCTTGTCGTCCAGGTATCGTGGAGGACTACCAGCTGCCGTACTATGAGATGGTGCCCTCGGATCCCTCCTATGAAGATATGTTGGAGGTGGTGTGTGTTAAAGGGCTTCGGCCCACGGTGTCCAACCGCTGGAACAGCGATGAGGTGAAAGCCAACGCTCCAAGCTGAATAGTAGCAGAACTTTGTCAACACTGACATTTAGCAGCAGCACACAAGCATTTAATAGATGGGTTACAGGACACTGTCACATAGCTGTCATCAGCTGTGAGGACACCAAGCCTTTAACAGTGTAAAGTGTATTCTAATTGTTCCTATGAAGGCATACTTTATATTCTTATTGTGATGTTTTACTACACTGTGAGCCAACGAGATGATGTTAGCGTTACACAGTCGTGTGATGTTCAGACTGTAAATTCACCACAGATCCCTTGTATCCAGGGATGCTTCACCTCTGTGGGAGGGTTTCTAACGCTGTGTGTTGTCGGTGTTTCCGCAGTGCCTCCGGGCCATGCTAAAGCTGATGTCAGAGTGCTGGGCTCATAACCCCGCCTCCCGCCTCACCATCCTCAGAGTCAAAAAGACGCTCGCCAAGATGGTGGAGTCCCAGGACATCAAGGTCTGACTGCCCCCCTCCCCCTCCTCCTCCTCGTTCCCCACCTCCGCCATTGGATTCATCTGAACATTTGGATCTGACCCTTCATCAGGAGGAGGAGAAGTTGGGAGATGGAAAAGGACCTGTCTCAGGGCTGAACTGTGCATCTCCTCCTCCTCCCTTCTTCATCTTCAGTGTGTCAGCTGAGCACAGAGTCCCTCCTCCCCCTCTTTCTGTGCTGAGGCAGCCGGGTGTGACGCTTTCTGTGAAAGCCAAACGAGATGGTGAAGACGAATTCATTGAAGACTTCCTGTGGAGGGGAGAGGAGGAGGGGGTGGGGAACTGATTGACCAAGAAAAAATTGTAGACCTTTTTTATTTTTATTATTTTGGTTTTAAGGCCCTGCTGCAGCCTTCCTCATCTTCTGCCTGTTTCAACGTGCCAGTTTTAGTTGTTTCTATTTGCTCTCCAGGACGGAGTTCTCCTGCCATATCAGCATATATCTGTGTTCATAGAGTAAAGCTCAGTAAAAATAAGATGCTATTATAATATGTGAATTTTAATGTGTAAATAAATGTTATCATTAGATGTCATGCCTCCTCCTAAGAAGACCTTAGTACCCAGAACACTATGCTGCAGTGGTGTTGACAGGAGCTGATGGAGTCACTGCGGAGACGTCTGCCGTCCTGTCTGTCAGCGCTTTGTATGGCAGACTGCACAGTAGCTGTATAAAGGTGAAGCTGCTCTGGTAGCAGAAACGGTCTCAGTGGAGAGTTGAACCTCTGTGGGTGAAGCCAAAAAATCTGAGCGCTGTCACAACGCAGGCCTCTTAACTCCTTTTCCCTCAGAACAGGAACGTACCCACCACGCCTCCTGATTTGTTCCCAGTTCAGAACAATGCATGAGGCTAACGAGAGCTCGGTGGGTGAGATCAGGAATTCAGAGAAGCAAGATATGTTGAACCTGTGACCAGTCTCTTATTCCCACTTCCAGCAGACACAGATCAACATGCTCCTCCGTGCACAGTGTGTCCGTGTCCCCCTGAGGAGCCTCAGCCCAGTGCTCCCTCTCTGTTCGCTCTGGGTTTGGTCTCCACCACCTCCTGAGGGAAACCTCTGGCTCTGGAGCTGCTAAACGCTCCACTGTGTAGCTGCCTCCTGCTGAGGCCCAGAACCTCGTTATGAGAGCCGAGAGGGTGGAGCAGAACAGTGGAGCTGTGGTCAAACACTAAATGAGCTGAGACTCACTGTGAAGCTGTGGGGAGCTGCATGTTTGGCTGATCAGCATCCGTAGGTTTTCAGATGGTTAGAAAAATATCAGAGCAGTTAAAAAAAAAACCATGCAGTCTTTAATGAAGACATCAGACATGAGGTTTGTTTATTAGTTTGACAAAAACATTACTATGGTTTAAAAAGCTTTTTTTCATAGATTGTAAAGAACCAGTGGATGAAATGTTAGAATTAAAATACAGTAGATCAAAAGTAAGATACCAACACATCAGTGACTCAGCAAGAAGATGAAATGTGACACGAATTTGATAGAAGTTGACTTTTTCTAGTCAGTATTGTGATACAGAGGAAAAATCCAGAGACAGAGATTAAAATCTTTGATGTGTTGTAATCTTCAGTCATACAGTTATCATTCTGATGCTCTCACGTTAATCTCCCATGACACTAGGGAGGTGCCCACTGGCTCCAAACACTCTGAGTCTTATTAAAAGAGGACGTAAACATCAGGAGGGAGCTCGGCAGTCGAACAGAGAGCTCTGGTCAGAACTGCAGGACTGGAAGAAGTACTCAGATCCTTGATTTAGATACAAGTACACAAGTAATGTCAGCAAGTATTCATTCCACAGAAAACTGGCACTTCACTGTCACTTTATTGTTGGAGGTGGTTAACTGCTTTACACACAGTTGGCTAGGCCAGTCCTGTGTTTTCCAACCTGAGGGTCAGGTCCCTGCAGAAGGTCACCAGATGGATCTGACAGGATTGTTTACAGGAGTTTGGAGGGGAACAGTAAACATGTTCTACAAAGTTACAAACTTGAATAAATCTTTAGCAATTTGTTTGTAGTTTATAAACAAATGTTTTTAATTAAAAAAAATGAAATTAAGTGCAGCTGTGATACATCAATAAGTATAAAATAGCAAAAAAATGGAAACACTCAAATACTAGTACCTCAAACCTCTGTTCCACTGCAGTACTTGCACTGCAAAACATAAAGAAGTAAAATAAAATCAGGTGACTTTAATGTTCCATGCAGACAGATGACTTTGTAGCTCAGCTTCTGCAAAGTGGTGCATAGATTAATTAGTTTGGCTCCGCCCACTGAGGTTTGACTTGTCCATTAAGATTATATCTGAACCTAGGAAATGTTTGTAAAAATCATCACTTTGCAGTGTTACAGTAAACTGAAGACCTTCAAAAATTGTCAGCAGATCACTTCAGTTGCATTTACATTCTCTTTAGGAATGTTTGGACAAAAAAGGTCCAGGGGTGTGTGGCCTACAGCTCACATCAGACGTTTCCATCCACCTCAGCCAAACACATTTAACCTCAGTTTTCCACAACTCCTGACATTTAACCCTATAGAGCCTTCCTGTCTCAGGTCAGTTAGTGTCACTGCTTTATTTAAAGAAGTGGCAGAATAACAGTACAGAACAAGATTTATTTGTCCTTCCTGAGCGGTACGATGCTGCGTTGTCTGGTGGTGTTCATACTTGTGTAGTATTGTCTGTACAGATGAACATGGAACCTTCAGGTGTTTTCAGATTGCTCCCAGACTTGTGGAGGTCTATTTTGTTTCTGAGGTCTTGGCTGATTTCATTTGATTTTCCCATGATGTCAAATAAAGAGGTACTGAGTTTGAAGCTGGGCCTTAAAGTCCATCCACAGCTGCACCTCCTGTTGACTCCAGTGATGTCAGTTAGCCAATCAGAAGCTTCTAAAGCCATGACATCATTTTCTGGACTTTTCTAGGCTGTTTAAAGGCAAAGTCACCTGGTTGTGTGTAAACGTCTGACCCACTGGAACTGAGGTAGAGAATTAGATGAGAAATAATAAACAGCAGTTGGAAAAACTACTGGTGTGATGACAAAAAGTACATGTCCTAACCGACTTGGAAAAATGAGTTTGTTAGCATGACATCTAGTTAAAAAAATAATGTGTAATGGCTTCAGCCTAAGTGTGTGTGTATAAACTTCTCACTTCAGCTGTAGCTTAGCACAAAGACTGGCTGTGGGGGGAAACTGATGGCTCCATGAAAACAACAAATTCACCTTGTAACACCAAATCTGAAACCGGTGTAAAAAGGAGACGTGGTGATGCTAGGTAACCGTTTCCACTGGCTTCCACTCCTGTGCTAAGCTTGGCTAACTACACCCTGCTCACACTGATGTAAAATGAGGTTTTATATAAACTGTTGGACTGTTCCTTTAATATTGGTTCAGTGTGCACCTTCACTGTCTATGAATGAAGCTAACATACTATTTAAGAGCAGTAACTTTTAGTGTTTTCTGCCATAAATATGCAAGAAAACCCAGTATTGGAATCTATAGTATGTAAATCTTTGTTTTTGGTGTTTTGTACAGCATCTGGTTCAGTGCCTTGCCTTGACCAAGAAAAATATGAAACACTCTGTATACAGTCTGTCCAATATAACATTTTTTAAGTAAATAACCTTATTTTAGTACTCAAACTCCTAGCATTAACTCTGCTTCTGTTACTTGTTTGGCTACCGTTTTATTTATTGCTGTTTAACTTGATGTATGCAAAGCTCATTTCATCCAAGAAAGGTAAAAGTGACTTTCAAGTTGGTGACTAAAAATGTTTAATGTAGATAATTTGACTCAAGATAAAATTATGGGATATGCAAAAATTGACTTTAGGTGACAGAATTAAACTTAAAAATGTAGAAGTTTTCAAATATTACATTTAAAATAGAAAAAAAAATTACTTATTGGTTCAGTCCCTTCATGTAAACATGCTTTTTTTTTCCTCTATTTTTTTGGTTCCAGCTTCAAATATGACAATTCAGTTTTTCCTCATCAGTTAAAACATGTTTTAGATGCTGGTTTGTTAAAGATTTGTCATCATTTGATATTAGGACTGCAGCTAAGTTGTTTTCACCAGTTCTCAGTTAATGGTTCAGGATATAAAATAGACCTTGTCTGACCAACAGCTGGAAACAGATATTGAAGCTACGCTTTTAATTTAGTCACATATGACAAAGAAAATCAGTTCTCACATTTGAGAAGCTGAACCATGAGACAACTGAAGTCGTTTATCAAAATAGTGGTTAATTTTCTATCAAACTGTTTCAGCTCTGAGAAGATAACCAGCAGCTGTGGCTGAACATGGAGCGGTGACAAAACCAACCTAAACCCAAAAGCTAGTTAAAATTTTAAAACCTTTAACCATCTCGTCAGTAAATTAAAAACCGAATCCAAGTTGTGTCAAACATTTTAGTTTTTATTCTTCAAGTCCATCCCTGTTTATTTGTCCTCAGGCTTGTTGAAGCAGTAGGTGAGGCAGCACTTCCCGCAGTAGTGGCGGTCAAAGTGGCTCGCCATGAAGACGCCAGCGCCACACTCGTCAGCCGGACACTCGCGCCTCAGGCGGTGGATTTTACCGTTCTCATCCACCTGAAAGACCCAACACAAATGAGTGATGTGAAAAGCTGCTGATTACAAAGGTACATGGATCCAAGACAGTGGTGCCAGCGCTCAAAGCACTAATATAGGTGGAAAACTGATTGAGTGAACACGCTATATTGAAAATATTACTGGTGTTAGAATAAAAAAAAAATAATAATAATTCACGTGCAGAAAGTGCAACACGTCTGACAGTGAACAAGTTTGTACCTTGTAGTATTTGAGCACAGCAAGCTTGACCTTCTTCCTCTTGTGCTTGTTCTTCTTGGGAGTGGTGTAGGACTTCTTCTTCCTCTTCTTGGCACCACCACGCAGCCTCAGCACTAAGTGCAGCGTGGACTCCTGACAAGAAGAAACAAATCAGTCAGACAAACCTGCCCCAGAGGCTCTGACAGGCACAAACACCCAGTTCCCTCAGGCATGTAAAGCTCTTCTGTCAACATGTAGTGTTTTGAACGGGAGCTCCTCACTTCTTGGATCCATGAGCACAAACCCAGCACCAGTTCCTGATTCACACACAGATGCCATCAGCCTTAACTACAAAGCTCAGTAGTTGGTTTAGTTTAGGAGGCAGACATTTCACAGGACCACATTCCGGCCTGTGCAACAGGTCACTGGAGCTGTGTGAAGTCCCCTCCTGCTTCAAACGCTCCACCATCATCCCAGTCCCCAAGAAGCATTACATCCTGCAACACCTCGACTCCCCAGGGACCTATGCACTGGCCCTCTTTGTGGACTTCAGCTTGGCATTCAACACCATCATCCCGGACATCCTCCACTCCAAACTGACCCAGCTCCCTGTGCCTGCCCCCACCTGTCAGTGGATTATTAGCTTTCTGACAGACAGGAAGCAGCAGGTGAGGCTGGGGAAAACCACATCCAGCACCTAGAATATCAGTGCACCCGTCACAATTCCAGTGTGTTTAATCAAGCTTGGTCAACACAGTCTCCTATTATGAAATTTCAAGCCGCAGCAGGTCACCTCTCAGTCCGGCAGAAATAAAACAGACCATTCCTAGCTGCAGCTCACCTTCTGGATGTTGTAGTCAGAGAGTGTGCGTCCATCCTCCAGCTGCTTTCCAGCGAAGATCAACCTCTGCTGATCAGGAGGGATCCCTGCAGACAGCAAACACATCAGTAGTGCACCACAGGGTCAGAAACATGAGCTGAAACAAGACCCTCTGGTTTCAGTGAGTCAGACTGAGCTTCAACACTAGTATCTTCCATTTAAAATACCTAAAAATTGTACTTGAGTAAATACACTAAAGTCACTTTTCACCACTGTCAAGAACTGTTATTCAGTTCCCTGTCAAAACAGCCAAGTGTCGAATCCTAATTCCTGAAGCCAAGCAAACAAAACATATGATCGGTAGATTAAATATTTCATATCAAGCTATTACAGCTTCGTCTGCAGCTAAACGCAACAAATCCATGCACAGAGCCAAACGAACCATCTAATTGACTCACCCTCTTTGTCCTGGATTTTGGCCTTGACATTTTCAATAGTATCTGAAGGCTCAACCTGTAACAGTCAGCAAAAGGAAAAGAGATTAGCAGGACACGTTCTTCCGGTCAACGTTACAGCCACACAAGGCCAAGACAACTATGCGTATTCTGTAAACAAGCATAGGTACTTTTATCAAGTTAAAAATGTTAAGCATTTCGTGAGGGAAATTGTACTTGAGTAAATATACTAAAGTTACTCGTGAGGGAAACGCTGCGGGTGAAGTCCACTGCTGTCTCACACGTGTTTACGGTCAATGCTAGCTTAGCCACTAACTTGGATTGCAAGGTACGACATAATTTAAACAGATAAACATATAATTACCAGTGCATGACTGGTAATGGTATAATACATGGGGTTTGTAGCCGAGTACAACAGTAAAGTTAGTAAAACTCAGGGTAACTGCAGCCTCTGAACGCCGCATCCCTCCATCACAGTCCTTCTCACCCACCTCGAGGGTTATAGTCTTCCCCGTAAGGGTTTTGACGAATATCTGCATCCTGGCGTTCAATCCACCTACCACAGAAACACACAAGACTTTAGAATGTTGTCTGTACCGGAAGGCACATTAAATTCGTTATTTTGAGAGAATAATCCTTAAAAACACAGAGCACGATCTTACCACTGGTTCACTCCTAATGGCGGACCATGAGAAAAGGGCTTTCGTTTCGAGCGACGGGGTTTTCAGCAGGCGTTTGCACGGGGTAGGTAACCGTTACAGTGCCTGATGGAAAAAACCTCTACCTGTTCGTTTTTCGACTTTTTTTGTCCCTTTTGTCACCATTGTTGGTGTTAATGTCAATCTAAAGGGCTTATTAATGATATTTAAATGTGTTTAAATAAGAAACCAACCAAATCCTTAAAAAAATCACTTTCCAGATACACTTTCACCGTAACTATAGCAATGTCGATGTTTGTAAATGGCTTCCAGTAAGAAAACCGATGAGAGTCAGTGTGGACGTTGGCGTAAAACTATAAGAGAATAACAATGTTCAAGCTACAAAGCTGCAGCAGTTCGTCTTCAAGAAGAGAAGAAAGGCGTTCAACACCCGATATTTTGATATCTGATACTGATGAACGTTTTTTTCAGTCTCTGTATGAGTTTATTGAACACGAGAAACGGTACCTACGGTGTCCAGAAGAGGGTCCGAGCGAGCAGCGGCACAGTATCTACTGCTCTGTGTTTAATAAGGTATTCACTAAAATTATGTCTCAGCACAACGGGAGGTAAAAACAGGTATACCAAAGTTTAGGCGGTACTTTCTAAAATGCAGCCGTTGTACAGCATTATTAGCAGCAACAAAACGCGTTTTTAATCCTTTATAAATACCTTTAATTAGTAATAAGCACAAAAGAGACGCAAACTAACAGAATCCAAACTACAACAAAGAGGTTAAAATCGTCCACAAGAGATCACAAATGAATATAAAGTTTTTTTTTAAAGTTACAACAAAGAGGCAAAACCACTACACTCAAAAGAACAGAGAAAAATTATTTAACACAGAAAAACAAAATGGCCACAAAAAAATGCCACCCAATCATATAATTTTAAAACTGCCACAAAAAGATGCAAACTAACCAAAAAAGACAAAGCAGCTACAAAGATTCTCAAACTTCCCACAAATAGATGCAAAATTATGGCAAACAAATTCAAAATGACTACAAGGAGAAACAAAATAACTCATCACAAAAGATTTTTAAACCTGCATATGATAAATTATGAAACAACTAGTATGGTAAATTTTACTTTGTGTGGCTGCCAACATTTCCAGAAAAAAATACATAGCTTGTATGTCTGTGGTGTGTATGAGTGGCTGGAGTTTGCAAGTTACGCAGATCTTTGATATTATCTTCTGAGTTTGAATTCAGTTTAGGTCCTGTTGTTTTTCCTTCTCTTCCTTTGTCGACAGGTGATATCACGAGCCACGGCCTATAAGAGACTTCTGTTGACCATAAAAGCGGAGTATGATGATGCCATCAGGGAGCTGAAGAGGAGGGAGGATGAAGCCAGGATGACACAACGAACCCTGGCGGCCTTAACATCAAATCTAAAATCACTAACATCCTGCCAGAGACGAGCCGCCCAGCTGAGGGACCGGTGTGTGTGCTGCTGTACTGTCCACTTACTCTTTATCTATTTGTCCATCTCTGTGTTCATTTTCTCTCTATGTGGCCATCTCATTGTAGTTATTTTGTGCATCTTTGTGGTAGCTTGGCATCTCTTTGTGGTCATTTTGCGTCTATTTTTTATCAAGTTGTGTTATTTTGTGGTCATGTTGTATCTTTTACTTGAATTCTGTGGCTCTCACACAAGAAATATTAACAGTCACTTCATACAGAGGCTCTGGGCCCTGGTCTGAGGGCACGGTCGGTCCATGATTGTACCAGTTAGCTCAGAGCTAACAGTGCTAAACAAAACACATAATATGGTACATCACAGACACACACACACACACACAGACCACGTCAACAGCACGTGTGTGGTAAACAAATTAAAATATTTGTATTCAAAGCAAAAACAACAAAACCAGTGGTTACTGATTTTATTAACTTTTAGCAGATGTTTCAACTTGGCTTTAAAGCTACAGACCTGTAGTGCAGGTTTAAATGCTGCTGTGTAAAAATACTTGACTGAGTTCATCCATTCTCTGTTTCCTTCCAGCGTTTCTGCCCTTCACAGGGAAACAGCAGAACTTCAGGAGGAGCTCAAGACACAGAGATTATCTGTGGAGCAGAGCACATGGATCCCTGGTACTGCTCAGACGGGCTCCTGCACTCGATTATTTAAAATAAATCATTCTGTGTAATGTGTAGCCCTGTTGCTGAAAATGTGATTCAGTATTTTCCAAGCTGTACAAATGTTGACTTGTGTAAGCATTGTCCACTACGGTTAATGTGAAGTTGTCAGAATGAGACAGCAGTTTCTGAAAACTTTCAGTAGCATTATCTTAAATCAGAGATGGATCTCTGAACAGGGGCACAGGGCCCTGCTGGGTTGTGGGGCTCCTGGACCACAGCTTTTGATTGACCTGACTGTTAGGATTCTTCTATCCATCCATACCTGGTATGAGTAGCTGGCAGCCAGTTGTGCACACTGCATCATCTCTGCTAAAACATCTGTGTTGCCTCCCAGGTCTGACAGTGGCTGAGTCTTTGGACCCCGAGGCTCTGGATGGGCATCTGAAGCATCTTGAGGCCCAGAGATCTGCTTTGCTAGACAGGAAGCGTCACTGTGTCTCTCTGGAGGTTAAAGCTGAGCTAGACGACATGCTGCAGGCCACTGCGCACCACAGAGACCAGCTGAGCACCGAGAACAACCGACTGAAAGTCCTGTAAGAGTCTGTGTCCGGACTGGAGTCAGACATACTCAACCAAACATGAAAGTGTAGTCGACTGATCTCTTGAGTCTGTCCAACTGCAGCTACAAGCGTCTGAGGCTTGTGTGTGACCGTCTGTCCAGCTGGGAGGAAGAGGGGGCGCAGGCTCCTCTGGAGGAGCTCCTGTGTGCCACGTTGGAGAGCATCAGACAGAGCAAGGGTGAGACAACAGGAACTGTTAAATTCAGAAAGTTGTAAAGTGCTAAAAAGAAAGAATTGAGATTTACTGGTGTTTTGTACCATGAAAATGGCAAAAAAATAATTTTCACTAAATATTGTATCTTCACTGATCCAGGTCTCAACTCAGCTCCCAGTGATATTTTATACATTGTCAGCAGAATTTATTTACTACTTCAAATGTTTTTTCTTCAATATTTGTGATGATTTATCAGATTCTCCCTTGGTGTTTCAGTATGCAGCCATTTTAATATTATGCACAGGAGTTTTAATGCACCATCAGAGTGTAGACCACACTACGCCCTACAAACAAACAAGCAAACATTCAGTCATTCATTCATTCATCTTCTATGCCGCTCAGTCCCAAACGGGGTCGCGGACAAGCAAACAGGAAGAAGGAAAAGTGAAGGTGTCACAGTTATTCTCCTGACTCCAACCCGCAGTGACAGAAGATACCAGCTGCAGCATCGATGCCGAGCTGTTTGGGGGCGAAGAGCCAACCGGAGTAGACGAGTTCAGACTCCTGACAGATTCCCTGGACAGGTGCTGCCTCATGAACCAGTCCTGCTGAGTTTACCTGCAGAATGTCTCTGAACCTTCCCCTCCTCCTTCTGTCTGTCAGGTTTATTGAGCTCTTTGATTCAGCTCAGTATGAGGACGCTGCTCTACTCGCTGCCAGATCCCCTCGAGGAGTCCTGAGGAACCTGGACACCATGCAGATGTTTACAGGTGGGCAGCACACATACACACAGACATCAGTGTGTTTCCACGATGTTTTAACAGCTAATATTTGGTCATTTTCACTGTTGGAAAATTAAGCATGTGCTGGAAATCAGTAAAATTAGAGGTGAATTTGTATGTGACGCGTCTTTGCCACACATAGTCAGCTCTGGCAGCCAACATGATACATGTGCACTGAGACACAGCAGTCAGTAGCAGTGAGAGCTAACAGCTGATCCTGCTCTCTGAGCTAAGAGCCCACTTTTCTTTTTCAAATAATCAACGTTCAGTTATGAATTTTGTGATTCATGTCTGTCATAAGCTCTCACTGCACAGCCGATGTACCAGAGTCAAATTCCTCGTGTGTACGACACACCTGGTCAATAAAGCAGATTCAGATTCTGAATCTGATCGTGATTCTGTTTAGGTTATAGTACTTAGTTTGTGTTCTTCAGCTCCTTTGGCCAGCGCTGTTATATTTGGAACTAGATTGACTGTATAAATATGAGTACAGTGTAAATAGTGGGGAGAAGGGAGAGAAGCAGGGGAAGACCTAAATAATCAGTATGTACATTTTGAAATGCATTTCACTTTATACTGCACTTGTATTTTGTGGCATTCATGTGGATGGCAAAGTAAGAATTTCATTGTACAGGGAAACACGTTTCCTAACTGTACATATGACAAATAAACACTTTGAACCTTGACCTTGAAAAGGGACAAACAAGTGTATTGTACAAGACTGAATGCCCCTCGACTGTTCAAATACCACTTCACTGACAGCGCCACCTTCAGGCCAAAGTCTACACTCAGGTAAAATGTCAGACATGAGCAGTAAGTGTGAACAACATCAACTGCACCTTCCTCTGTATTTTCTGAGGCACTGCTGGGACTTGAACCCAGGATCTCCTACTTACTAAAGGGGAACTTTAACCAGCTAAGCCACAGCACCTCAGAGTTAACACAGAAGAGATCGAAGCATTAACAACATTAACATTCATGCATGTTAAACTACTGACAGCAACTTGTTCAAGGAGCTTTTGGAGGAAAAACAAAAAGTCAAGGAGAGTGATTTCTTTTAGGCATTGCTGGGATTTTACCCCACGATCCCCTGTTTATGAGATTGGTGCATTGACCCACAGCCCCCCAGTTTGTTATTATTCACTGTCTAAAGGTTTGTTGATTTGCAGATGACCTCTGTACAGTTGGTTTACTGGCTGGTTGTGACAAAGAGTAACTTCTAAAACATGTTCTGTTTCCTCCCTTTCTCTGGTGCTTCCAGGTGTGAAGGGCCCCCCAGGGTCAGTCCCCCCTGTCCTCCTCTTCTTTCAGGCCCTGCTGATCACCGCCCCGGCCGGTGATGAGCTGTCTGCTCTGCTCTCCCTGCAGGCTGTTCGCTTTGCCCTGCAGCACGGTGCCTCGCAGCTTGTCACCCACGCCGTCACCCAGAAGAAGTAAACACCACAAATATTCATAGTGTGAATGGTTTATACCATCTCTGGGGGTATTTATGTTCTTTACCTCTCAGACTGAACTTCTCTGAGGACCTGGGCGACATCCTGACTGAGCATGCTCAGAAGAACCCTGGTGTGACTGACCTGTGTCTGGCATTGGCTACCATCGTCTATGAGGCCTGCGGGCTGGACAGGAAGACCGCGCTGAGCATGTGCAAGAGAGGCCTGATCCACAGCGCCATCGAGTTCATGAACCACTGCAAGAACCTCACAGCTGGTTTGTGTTGTTGTCTTTGTGAGGACTAAGTGTAGATGTAAACCACTGAGGACATTTTTGCGCTGTGAGGCTGCTACTCAGTACTTTCCTCTGTGAGGGTTTAGACTTGGTTCAGGTTAGAATCAGGTTTAGGTTACAGAGGTGTGCGCAGACCAATTCCCAAAAGTCCTGCTTTGAGAATCAATAATTGCATCAATAGGATCAATGCCAGAAAAAAATGGATCTATCACATGTTAGATCACATCTGTGGTGCTGCTATGAGCAATGATCACAGAGAGTTCACATAATGGACAACAATTAAAATTGATTTGATGAAAGTTAAAAGATAGTAAAAATGCATTCACCTCATACATTGTCACATATTTCTCTAATGTGAAAGTGCATTAGCTGCTTTTAACAATAAGGTATAAATGTTGGCACAGGTATTATAATCCCAGCCGTGGTGTTAATGGTATTGATCAAAGACAGATTATGTGGTATCACCCCACCTGATACAATCTGGGGTTTCAGGGCTGGAGAATGTGTTATATAAACCAGGATTCTCACAAGTGTTGGAAAGATAGAAGTGTTTGTGTGTTTTCTTACATACTTCATACAGTATAACTGTCTAAGTATGTCTCTCTCTCTCTCAGAGGACTGCGTGTGGATTCTGTATCGCTCGCCCAGCCTGTCCCTCCTCCAGCTGTTGACAGAGCCTCAGCGGGGCCAGGCGGCCATCTTGTCAGCGGGCATAGCCTGTTCCACTCTGCTGACTGATCCTCGGCAGCAGCAGTTTGCTCTGCAGCTCCTGGACAGCTTCGTCAGCCGCGGACGAGGTGTGTCTCAGATGTGCACTGATTGTCTGCACAGCCAGCTGTCAGCAGCTGTGTTTATGTGCTAATCAGTAAGTACTGAGATCTTTTTGTTCAGTAAGAATAAAACTGTATATGAAGTCTCCATTACATATAAAATAACATCTACCTAATGTCAAAGGTAAAGCTCCTCCTGTAAACTGGCCCCACTAACAGTGTACTGTATATAATCTTTGCATAGGCAGTGTACGTACACATAACTTCACTTACATGTTTTCCAGATTAAAAACCATTTATAAAAATGACTTTAAGCCTTTCACTGTGTCTACACAGAAGGCGAAGCGTGAGCAACACATGTAGCAGAGCAGCAGCAGTGGAGGTGTTCAGGCACAGGACTGAGTGTAGGTCACCCGCTCAGCGCCTGACCATTGTGGACGCCTCCTGACTCTCGCTGACTGCAGCGGCACTGGCCAAATCCTGTATTTTCAGGCACTCAGTGCTTCGCTGTCAGTCAGTGGGGTAATGTCAGTGGCCCTCCCTCTCAGCACGCCTCTGTTTCTGCATCTGAACGCTCCAGATCATACAAGCTCGCCTCCAGAATCCATCACAGCAACACTTTCTTCTCGTGTATCAGGCATATATTCACACTTATCGTATTGATCAGACTGTCTCCCAGAATTTATGAATTTATCAAAGCACTTTGGTCCAAAGTCAGGAGATATGTAGCGCAGCAAAGCGTGAACAGAATTGCCAGCCTTTTGCTGCGTTATATACAGTATGTCCATGAACGCTGAGTTAAACTCTATGTTCACTGCTCACATCTCCGTCCTCTTAGAGGTTTTGGAGGAGGTGATCCTGGAGGACTGCAGCTCCTCAGTCGACGTCTGGGCCAACGTAGCGTCTCTGTGCTCCCAGCTGGACCGAGCCGACCTGAGCCGGGCCATCCTGTGTCTCCTGCTGGACCAGAGTGGGACCAGCCTGCTGTCCCCGGACCTGGAGGAAGCCTGGCTTATGGAACATGTCTTCCTGTGAAAACTGCATCTGACAGGTCTCTGGCAAGTAGAACCATCAGAGCAAAACAAGTCCAAACAGCTGCTAGGAGTCAGTTTCTTCTTCTTTTGTTTGTAACAGGGTTAAATTAAGCCAAGTTTATTCGTTTATCATAGAATGCAAACATAGAAATACAAACAATTATGCATAAATAAGTTCAAACTTATCATTAAGCCCAATATATGGCAAAACAAACAACGAAACTTAAATTGGTGGTACTCAGAACCCGTATATGGGAAAACAATCAACGGAACATAAATAGGTGGAGAAACTAAACAAAGGAGACAGTACAGTACAAGAGACTGAGTGACAAGCGTCGGCCTGTGCCTTGCCTTTGACTTTCTATTCCAAACCACCGGCTGTACATGCTGTGTGGGGAGAGTCATCGAGATACTTCCCAAAGCGTAGATTTTTAGATATAGATTTAGATATTTAAGAACTCTGAAGATGGCCATTTTCATGTTTTCCCTTCTTCTATCAGCCTGTCTCTCAGTCAAATATCAAATCCCAGGAAGTTTCAGTGACTTTCAGTGTTTCGTGTGTTTAAATTTAAGGCCTGAAGAATTTCCAACTGTTCTGTCAGTGGTGGAACAGTTGCAGGACATGATCCATAGGGCTGCACCTCACCAACGCTGTCATCATTAACTTGAGTCGACAAAACCTCGGAAAACAAAATGCCAAGCAGAATATCCCAGAGCAGAATCTGACATCAGGACAGTCTAACAGACCCAAACCCCAAGACATCCCGATTATTATATAGTGTACACATGCATAGAAATAAAGATTGGGAAATAAGTAAAGAAAACATGCATAGCTACAGAAATTAAATTATATTAGCACTTTATTCTGAAGGCACAAACAGGCCTTGTAGGACAGTAAGAGGATACGTGGTGTTTTTCTATGAAACTTAATAGCAAAAGAGCCAAAATAGCACCATACATGTCACATTATACTTTATCTGACTGGTTTATTTGTTGAGCAAAGTAAAAGCTTCATTGCTTAAATTTCACAAGCAAGCAGTGAGAGAAGACGTGAAGAGCAGAACAGAGAGGATGCTGGGTAAACAGTCGGCCTACTGTGGCTGCAGGCTCTGTTTATAGACTCGTGGGAGTGCGTTTGTTCAGTGTGTGGCTTCATTGATTGAGATGTGGCTCAGATTGAGGCCACCATAAAGGCTCCTCTGTTTAGCCTGTTGTGTGCATGTTGTCAGGTCCGTTGGACTTGTGAGGATTTCTGGGATGTGCCCATATCGCCTGTGGGGTGTTTCCTGTTTGTTTAGTAAGTAGTTATTTTAACCCAGACCATGATCATGCCCTTAACTAACCAAGTACTGTTTGTGCCAAAACATGGGTCCTTTATTACTGTAACTATGACAACGAAGGTCCATCCCATAAGGGTCCACTGAGCCAACTAGGAGGTGGAGTAGGGCCCTTCTAACCGACACCTATGGTCCTGATGGCAAAATGCTAAATAAATATTACTATGGTTGAGTGAATGAAAACTGTTTATCATTAATCATCTGATGACCCCCCCTCAGAGGCTGGGCATCACTGGACTCAGTGGTGGAAAGTAACTAAGTACATTTACTCAGGTACTGTGTTCGAGTACAGTTTTGGGCTATTTGTACTTCAGTATTTTCATTTTCTGCCACTTCATACTTGGACCTCACTGCCTTTTGCTGCACTACATGCATGTGAATCAGAATACTTTTATTTTAGTAAAGGATCTGAGTACTTCCTCCCCTTCTGACAGGAGTAAACCAGCTAACTGTATAGAAACCAGCTCCACTTGGAACAGCTGCAGCAGTAAAATGCTGCGTACACACTGATGCATCAGTATTCACTATCTGATCAGTCACAGGAGACGCTTTGCACTGTCATCCCCCAGTAAGACTCGTGTCTGAAATGACTGGGAGAGGTGTTTGGTTGTTCTGTTTCACGGTGGGGAGACTGCACGAAGCAGAGTCTTAGAAAGGACCAGAAAGACGAGGGGGATTCAAGGAGGAGAGCGAGGAGAGAAACAGATGCACAAGCTCCTGGCTCTGCCACAGCATATTGATCTCCTGCAGTGTGTGTGCGATGCTGGCCCAGCATGACACAGCTTCTTTATCTTTCAAAGCCCAGCTTTTCTCACTGGACATTATTTTCAGCTCTGTTAACACAGTCCCACGCCA